AGGATGGCAGAATAGTAAAAGTAGTTCCCCCCTCACCAATGATACAATATAAAGTGCTTCAGAAGAAATGAGTATTTGCTGAGTTTGGACTGAGAAAGATCCGGCTAAGTCACGTCCCAAGAATGCTTATATTTAAAACTGAAAGAGGGACAACTAACAGAGGTGACATGGAACATAATTATTAGTGTTTCTATTCTGATCTCATCAGCAAAGATATTGGAACCAAACCACATGGGGATTCTACTTCCTTCGTACAAAGAAATAAACAACATGCAAAAATGGCAATGGTTCTTTAAGAAGATGAAGCAGGGAAGAGCAGCTGGACCAGGCCAAATATATACAGAAGAAATCTGTGCTAAATGTGATGTGAAAGGCACTTTAAAATCATTGCCAAAAAAAAGATTCCAAAAGAAGGGGTGGGGATGAACATAGGGAGCACAAGCTCTAAAAACATAAACCTAACCAGAGACAATAAAGAGATCTTGAATAATGAAAAATATCAATAAAAACAAATCTTTGAAACAAGTAATAACTATATGAAAGAGGATAACAATGAGTCAACATAACCAATGAGATAACATGTGAAGCACTTTGTAATAAAACCTTAAAACACTATAGAAATGCTAGCTATTAATATTATCCCAAGATTTCTGTGAAGCAGCTACAGTAGTCCTCAGAGGAAAAATTGCATCTCTGAGAACATGCATTGACAAAATGGAAAAAAAGAAGATGGCGGAGCAGGTCAGAAAACTTGCAGCTCTCCAAATTCCCTCCACAGAAAAAGACAAAACATTAAGAATGTAGAACAATGGAAATAAACAAAAGTCAGGGTAAAGCAGTTGTTCTCCTAAGATAACCTAAGAAGACCCCAGAAAAGACCTAACCCCCAAGGGCAGAGGTTCGGCCTGAGTGAAGTGCACACACTTCCAGGTCAACTCTGCAGAATCAACAAACAACAAGCCCAGGGAGCAGCTGGGAGGCAGCCTCAGGCCTTAGAAACTTTCATCTCCTGGACCATCTGACCATTGAATAGGAGAAGATTAAAAGACCTTCCACTGTTGCGAGATGCAAAGCACTGCTGTGTTGACCAGACATGATCAGAGTTGTGGCAATGGGGAGAAGGAGCTAGCACACACCTGGTGAATGCAGTAGTGGAAGCAGGGACCCTGCTACCTGTGGACACTTGAAGGAAAGCAGAGTCCCTGGTTTCAGTTCCAGGGAGGAGAGGACAGCTACAATAATCATTACACAAGACCCAGCAGCTACTACGTTGAAAGACTGAAGGTCTTGAAATACTGTATCTCATAGAGCAAAAGAGCTGGGTTTACAAACCAATGGTAATTTACCTAGCAAAATTAAGTATAATCCCGAATAAAAGAATAAATGGACATTTAACAAACTGAAAGACTTTCTGGTATTTGTAACAAAAACAGCAGAACTTAAGGGAAAATTTGACCAAGAAGTCAGAAGCTTTCAGTTCATAAGTCTGGTTTCTTATTTATAGAACATTACAGAGCATCCAGGAGAAATATAAGGTAAACATTAAGGACCAATTATAAGAGCCTCAATGAGGTCAAATTGTTTGCTTCTGATATGTAAAAATATTATCAATTATTTTATGACGGTCATTTGAGGGGGTAGTTTGAAAGAAAGGCTTGGGCTGAGCTGAGTATGATGGCATGACTCTAAAAAAATAAAATTGTAGAGAGAGGTAAGAAAGGAACAATTATCTCATGCAAATGAGGCATAAAAGGAAAAATTGATGAAGAAAAAGCTAGTAGAGGGAGGACGGGTAGTGCTGAAACCTTACTGTCATCAGAAATGGGTTAAAGAGGGAACAACATATATATCTAGAAAGGTATAAAAGTCTTGTAAATTCAAAAAGAAATAAGAGGTCAAGGAGATAGGGTGGGGGAGACAATAAGAGATGGACTCTTGGAGGGGTAGATAGGTAAAGGAATAGGAAGTCAAAAACGGTAAGTAAAGCAGAGGAGTGAGAAGGATAGGAATAGGGTAAAAAGGATAGTGAGGAAAAATAGGAAGGAGGAAAATATACAAGAAGTAATTATAGCTTAGAATGTGAATGGGATGAATTCATCCATAAAATGGAAACTAATAGCAGATTAAAAATTTGAATTCCAACAATATATTGCTTTCAGGAAATGCTATAAAAATGAAACATACACAAAGATAAAATAAAGGGCAGGAGTAGAATTTAGTATGTAAAAAACAACAGAGGTAATAAAAGTTAAAGCTAAAATAGATTTAATCAAAAAAGAAAAATAGGGAAACTACACTGTCAGCAATGTTATTCAATATTGTTTTAGACCATTTAAAATAACTAGACAGTATAAAATACCTGAGAGTATACCTGCAAAATAGACACAGGAACTATATGAATATAAACATAAAATACTTTTTATACAAATAAAGTCAGATCTAAATAATTGAAGTAATATTTATTGTTCAGGGGTAGGTAAAGCCAATATAATAAAAAATGACAATCTTACTTAACTAATCTATGTAATGCCATCCCAATTAAGTTATTAAAAAATTATCTTACTGAGTTAGAAAAAATAATAAAGTTCATTTGAGAGAATAAAAGGTCAGGAACTTCAAAGAAACCAGGGGGAAAAAAAGATGTAAAGGAAGCAGATTCAATGGTATCAGACCTTAAACTATATTTTAAAGTGAGAGCATTGTTGAAGTATGAAATGGATAATTTTGATTATTTTAAATTAAAATTTTCTTGTATAAATAAAACCTACACAACCAAGAATGGAAGGAATGCAGAAAATGGGGGAGGGGGGACTTTCATAGACAATTTTTCAGACAGATTGTGATTGGGTTGGAATATTGCTGTGGTGTAGGAAACAATGAGCTGGTTGATTTAGAAAAACATGGAAAGATTTGAACTAATGAAGGAAGATGCTATCCACCTTCAAAGAAACAGATGACAAGTGGAAATAAACATAGGATGGTCTTACACATATGTATATGAGTGTATATGTGTATGTATGTGTATGTTTATAGATATCTATGTATATGTGTGTATAATCCACACTTAATTGTAGCTTTCTTTGGCAGGGGCGGGGAATAAAGTAAAAGTGCACAGCAGAGTACAAAAGAAAATCTACAAGGAAGCAGAGTTGGACAGCTTTGAAAACAAGGTGTAGTATTTACTATGTAAGTTTTCTTGAAATGGAAATTTATTGTTTTATATTGAATCCTTTCATGTTCTGCTATGTACAAGGCAATTTTTTTCTTTTCTTATTTTGTATTTAAGTTTAAAATAAACTTTAAAATTTATGAAAAATAAAAAATAGAAAAAGAGAGGATTAAGGAATTGAATGTATAATTTTAATAATTAGAAAAACAAAATAATGGAAAAGAACATGAACAGTACATTGTTGCTCCCAAATCTGGTGACCAAGAAGTCAGAAGCTATCAGTTCATGTCTGGTTTCTTATTTATAGAACATTACAGAGCATCCTCAGTGAAGGCACTCACTTTCATCACACACACTGGAAAAACAAAATGGATGACTTCCAGACCATGACGTGCAATTGAATAGAGAACCTGAGTAAGCCCACCTATATCATGGCCAGGCACTACAGTCAGACAGGATATAGTAGGCAGTAGAAGCAAGAGATTAGGTTAGATGACATCTTGAAAACTGTTCAGTGCTTTCAATTGATCCCATACTGTTCCATGTTACAACACATTTCTTAAATACCAGTATTTTCCCAGTACTGTAAAAAATGGAAAGCTATAATCCCAGAAGAATTAAAATTACAAATAACTCAAAGAAAGGCACATGATGGGTATGAGTAGGCTATAGCATATTTCAAACAATGACTTATATGTGAGATGTGTTGTAAAAGACATGACTGTGGACATATATGACTCAAAAAAAGGAACAGGATAACACATGGCCAGCTAGCACCTCCCCCCAAGACAGATAGATAGATAGATGTGTGTATATGTGCATTATATAATACATATGTGTTTATTTATTTATTTAATTGGATAACCTATGGATGACTTATGGAAAACATGGCAAGAATTATATAGGATTTCTTTGTCTGTAGAATGGGTTTAATAATACATCTACTACCGAAATCAAAGGTTTGCCTTTCACAAACTAGAGACTGTTATTAACACTTTTTTACATTTTCCTTTAGCATACCCCATAAAGCAACATCTACAGCATAAAAATAATATTGCTCAATCAACAAGTCTTTATTGAGTTCCTATAATGTAGTCAGCGCTGTACTGGTGAGATGGAGAGGATGGTTAAGTCATGGTTTCTGATCTCCCACTAACTGGAGGTGCCATATTTATATGTGTGAGATAATTAGCAAACAATATGTGCCAGACAGTGAGGTACTAACAATGAACTGCTCTTGGGCATAGGCAGTCAGAGAATAGGAATAACAAAAGATCTCAGATTTAAAGCTGGAAGCAACCCTAGAAGTCACCCAGTCAAACCCCTTCATTTTACAAAGGAGGAAACTAAGGTCCAGAGAGGTTCTGTGATTTGGCCAGCGTCACACAGGTAGTAAGTGGCAAAGCTAGGTTTTGAACACAGGTCTTCTGATTCCAAATTCAGCACTCCTTCCACCATTTCAGGCTGCTTAGCAATGATCATTGGGATTAGAAGTAATTGGTGAAGTCCTCATAGAAGAGATGATTTGAGATGAGCCTTGAAGGAGGAGTAGGCTCTAGAATTCAGGGGTGGGGAACATTTGGCCTCAAGGTCACATGTGTCCTTCTAGGTCCTTGGGTGTGACCTTTTGACTGAGTCCAAGTTTTACAGAACAAATCATTTTATTTGTTCTGTGAAATTTGGATTCAGTCAAAAGGCAGCACTTAAGGACCTAGAGGGCCATATGTGGCCTTGAGGCTGCAGGTTTCCCAGCCCTGCTCTAGATAGTCAGAGAAGAGATCAAGGATATTTGGGGGAGGGGAAAAGGGGAAAACAGTATGATCTTACATACTTGAACTGGTTGGCTTCTGAGATATTCATCGCCCATTTGCACATCTGGAGACTCTTCCACCTGTCAAACAGCTCTGATTGCTTCACCCTTTAATAAGTGCAAGCAGAGGAAATCATCAAAATTCAGTCTAAACAAAGTTTTCACGATTTAAAATAAATGCAATAGATTATTCTCCACCCAACAAAACCTTCTGAATCCTTATGGTGCAGCAATCCTTACAGTTCCCCACCATCAGGAATATTGTGCTGATCACAAAGTTCTAACCATAGAAACTAGAACTCCCCACTTTATTTGGACTGCAGACTCTGAGGTTTCCTCCAGGGCTGAGGGGTTCAGGAGAAAAGTAGAAGAGTGAGGGTAGGTAGGCAAGTTAGAAAAATTCTAGAGAATTCTAAGACCTTCAGACAGGTGACCAGCTAAATCATTTCTATAAAATCTTTGTCATAAAGGCCAGTCTCAGAATGGTCCATATACACACAGAAGGCAGACTTGACGAAAACAGTAAGTGAACAAGTTGGCTTTTGCAGACCGCGTCATATTGCAGTTCCTATCTTTGCTACCACACAGCTGACTGAGTTGTGTGAGGAATATGAGATCCCATGGTGTCACTCCAAAACATGTGCTGCTTCTCTCCAAAAAAGCCTCTGAGGAGGAAGATTCCATTGGTCCTACTATTACAAAAAGAAGTTTACATATGCCAGATGATCATTTCATCACCAAAGAAACAGAAAATAATCTTAGCAATACTAACTTGTTTGTAAATCAAATTTGGGCCACAACAGACCCAAATTCTCATTCACAGAATTGCAGACTTGTAAAACCACCACTGAGCTGCAAGGGAACTCAAAAACCATCTGCTCAACCAGGCAGATGCTAAGCCAGGATCCCCTCCTCATCATACCCAACAAGGGGTCATCCAGCCTTTGCTAGAAGATGTTTAGTGAAGGGATCCACCTCCTCCTGAAGGAGCCCATTCCACTTTGACATAGCTTTAATTATTGCTAAATGTTTCCTTAAAATGAGAAGAAATCTGTCTCTCTATAAATTCCACTCATTATGGGGCAGCTAGGTTGCACAGGGGATTGAGCACCAGCCCTAAAGTCAGGAGGACCTGAGTTCAAATCTGGCCTCAGACCAAACACTTGACACTTACTAGCTGTATGACCCTGGGCAAGTCACTTAACCCCAAATTGCCTAATAAATAAATAAATAAATGAATAAATTCTGCTCATTATTGTTAGCTCTGCCTTCTGGGAACATGCATAGCAAATCTGATCCCTCTTTCATGGGGCTGTTCTTTCAAATATTTGAAGATGCTATGCCTTTCTCTTTGTTCTCCCTCCTCTTCCAAGCAATATCTCAGGAGAGGCAGCTTGGTATGGTGGAAAGGGCTGTGAATATGGAGTCAGAGGACTTGGGTTCAAATCTCTGCTCTGCTACTAACTTTGTGACCTTGGGCTAGTCCCCTGACTTCTCTGGGCATCAGTTTTCTCATTTGTAAAATTAGGGGGATGGGCTAGATAATCTCTAAGATCCTTTCCAGCTCAAAATCAATGATCCCATGACCTTTGAGTCAACTCTTGCCCTGATTGTAGTTTAGAGCCCTGTTGTGGTTCAGCGTACCTGCCATTCCAGAGCAAAGCATTCAACAACCTCTCTCAGTGTTTTATCTGCCGATCAGTCCTATCTCTCTAGCTTTCAAGGAAGCCTTCTCCAGAATGGTAAAGGCAGGGAGGGGCACCATGTATAGACAGGCTACAACCAGGAAAGGGATCCCCTTCCCAGAGACCCCCTCAAGGCTTTGAGGTTCCAGCATTCATCGGCCCTGGGAGCAGCTCACCTGGCAGCAAGGCCACAGGATGTAAAAAGATGATCACGGTACAGTAGCCGTGTCAGCAGGAGCTGGTCCCTTGGTGAAGACACTGGCAAGAAACTTCATGACGTTGACACTAATCGTTTCTGCAGTGTCTTCCCTTCTCTCCTCCCCCCATGCCCACTGCTAATCCTTCTAGGTTCCTTGCAAGAGTGACCTTCATCAAGGGACCAGAGTCATCATTGACTTTTCTAACAGCAGAGTCATAGTGGGAGGCTTATAGCCAGGGTTTAACTCATCTATTAGTCTTCCACTGGACTTAGCTCTTCACTGACAACAAGCAAAATTTACTATTAGCATTCAAAATAAATCACTACTGTATCTTATCCTGTCCCAGGAGGCAACCAAACACTGGCCCGTTGGTCTGGGGGCAAGGCCAGTTTTATGAGTGGGCAGCCACCTATGGGGCATGATTCTGGGGATGCTGGGAAGTATCCAACCCTTGGAGGGCAACTGCACTTATGGGAAGAAAAAAGAAAAAATATTTGACCTGCCAAGACACTAACATGCTATAGAAATATGAGTGGTTCTTATGATATTTCCTAGGCTCTGGAGCTGCGAAAGACCTGGGGGGATCTAGTCCAACCCACTCATTTTACAGATAAGGAAACTGAGACCCAGAGAGTTAAGTGGCTCTGCCACTTCCTACCTCTGTGACCTTGGGCAAGTCACTGAACTCCACTGGGCCTCAGGATCCTCGTTTGTGAAAAAGCATGGGTCAGATTAGACGACCTGCAACTTGCCCAAGATTCCATAAGTAATAAGTGACAGAATTTAGATTTGAATCCTGATCCTGGGACTCCAAAACCAATGTTCCTTCCACTATGCCACACGTCCTTCTTCTGGCTCCCCACTCTGTTTAGGGAAGGCACCCCTGCCAAAGGATGCTGACAGTGAAAAGGCCTGACCAGAGGCCTTTAGAATATAGAGGGTCCAGTCCGCTAAAGTAGGAGAGAACAGGGAGACATGAATTGTTCCAGCTTAAAATCAACTGTGAGAGTTAGAAGGGTCCTTGGAGTGCATCTGGGCTGTGCCAAGAGGCAGCTGTTGGTGTAATGGAGCTGAAAGGGTGCTTAGAGACCCCCTGACCCATCTGCCCTCTACACCTTTACCTCCATTCCCACCACAAAAATTCAACCATTTTCATCCTGCATAAATTGAAAATTCAAGGAAAAAAAATACTCAGTACAGGATTAGAAGAAACTAGGCCCAACAAAACAATGCAAGGTCAGGCTGTACTTCACAGTGCAGAATGTGGTAGAACACCATCCACAAAGGAGCCCCAGAGGGTGTCCCTCTCTCATTTTCCCAATAAACCCTTCTACTACTGAGAGAAGACAGGCAACTGCTCCATAATGATCTTTTGTGCACACGTTAATTTGCTGAAAGAGAAAGGGAACAAATGTTTGCAAAGCCCCAGCAGCTAGACAGGGGCTGGGACAAAGAATACTTCTTCTACAAGCCTGCCATGGGAAAGCAGATGGTTGCCAATGACATCCAGGGTTTTTTGCAGCGTAGGAAAAAAAATATAAAAAATTGAGGAGTAGAAAAGGGCTGACTGAAGCTAACTAGTTTGTATGTTTATAAGCTCTCCCTTCCTGAAGGTGAGAGGAAAAAAATCTCATCCACTTTCACACGTTTCATTATTAACTCTGTAAAGATGACTCCCAAAGCAATATACTCAGTCTTATTCTCTGTCCCAAGTCGAGTTGAAAGCAGACTTGTAAGTGAGCCCAGAGGAGTGGGTACTTGATCTCTCTTCTGTGTGTATGTATCTCTGTTTTGTCTGTCTGTGTCTGTGTTTCTGTGTCCTTCTCCCTATCTCCCTCCCTCTGTCTCTGTCTCTCCGTCTGTCTCTGTCTCTGTCTCTCTCTCTCTTCTTGTCTGTCTCCCTCCTCTCTCTCTCTCTCTCTCTCTCTCTCACTCTCTGTTGCTCTGTCTCTGTTTCTGTCTCTCTCTCTCCCTCCTCTCTCTGTCTCTGTGTGTGTGTCTGTCTTTCTCTATCTCATCTCTCCCTCCTTTCACTCTCTGTCTCTCTTTCTCTGTGTCTCTCTTTCTCTCTCCTCACTCTCTATCTCTCTGTGTCTCTATTTCTCTCTCTCTCTCTCTCTCACACACACACACACACACACACACACACACACCTACCTTATTGTTCCCACTGAAGGCTAAAAAGTGACATATTTGGGATACAGAGATGGAAAAATGATCCTGTTTTAGAGAGTTTAGGAGTGAGCTATTTGTTGGAATGTGATATGTCTGCATTCTACCCCAGATATGCCTAGCCTGGGACCTTATAGTTAACTAACAGAGGTCTCTTTTCTGTGTCATATCAAAGCTGCCATGGAAAGAAGAACATGGGTTTGCTGGCAGGGCCCAAAAAAGGTCTCACTTTGGGCTATAAACAGGAAAAGGTCTTCCAAACCCTCCTTCATCACCCTCCTCCTGACCCCAACCTCACTGATCTAATTTCTTGTTATTTCATAACACAGATGTAGTACATTGGTAGAATGGATGAGATGTGCTCTGTACAGCACCAGAAACATCCCTTTTCTTCCCCTACTAATTACTTCCCTCCTCCAGGTGCAGGAGACATATTGCCTGACATTCCCATATTAAAGGTTCATTTCTTTGGGTTAAATGTTACTCTGAGGAGGGTCCTCTTCTAGAATATAAATACTCTGGGTAGGGAAGCAGACTTAGTGTAATCTAGGTACTCTCTCTTTCCTGTCCATGGCAGAATGAGTGCACCCTTGGGTGGGGTCCAGAATGGAGAGAAAGAACACTAAACTTGGAGTCTAGACTTTGCTACTTACCTGTGGACTGAGTGACTGTGGACGAATCACCTAATCTCTGGAAGCCTCATTTTCCTCGGTTGTAAAAATGGTGATAATAATGTATACAGTGCCCACTTCATTAGGATTGTTTTGAGGAAAGCATTTTGAAAGTCTTAAAGCCCTACAGAAATGAGAGCCAATATTATTATCTCCCACAGTGTCTAACCCAGGATTAGAGTTAGGTCCTCCATTAAAATTTGGTTGAGTGTTGGAGTGATGAGGAAGATTACTAATCCTACCTGGTCAAAGGAAGATTCTCATAAAGGAGAGTATGCTTCATATTAAATTAGGACATTAGTCCTTACCATCATCTGGGAATAATAAATAGTTACAAGGTAAATCTTGGGTTCTTCCTGGAGAAACATGCCTCCATAGTT